GTCTTTCAGATCTAAACCCAATGAGTTCGACATGGCGTCGTTAGTAACTGAATGCGTCATCCACATTGGATGGGTTTTGTCCCTGTCTCCTGTCACCCCAGGAAGGGAGGAAGCACCAGTTGTCACCGCTTCATTAATTGTTCCTTTTCTTCCAGTAGTAAAGGGGTAAATTTTAAATGCCAACTGGCACAGTTTGCAAGGGTGTATAATTTATGAGGCTCGTGTGAGAAAGTAGAAAGATAGCTACAATCAGTATGAACATAAGCAAAACATTCAGCTTGCAATCTCTGCCACACAGTGTGGCTGCCCATGCTCAGTTATCACTCTGCACATATTTTTACTTTCCTGCACTGTAATTTCTCAAGGTTTGGTTGTCTGTTGTTTGGTTGTTTTTTTTTTCAAAAAGACTGCATATTTTTTATCTTTCCCAAGAGGAAGAGGGACAGTCTGGAAAAAAATAAATTTGAAAAGGTATTAAAAAATCACCTATCTTGCCAAAAACAGATCAACACCATTGAATATTGTGGAGGGCAGAGGGGATGTGAAAGCAGAGGCAGGATTCTCACACAAGACAGCTCCTTACTGGAAATGGAAATGGTCTGAAGAAAGAAAGGCGAGAGAACCTTTCACAAAGAAGAGGGGAGAGGAAAGGAAAGCAGAAACTTAGGAATCTTGGATACACAGAGCTACTGTTATTAGTTTTTAACTTTTCTAACAAAGGTATCTGCATTATTGGCAATACAATCAGAACAAAAGCCAAGTGTCTGCAGATTTGCATAGATCTACATACGTTAAATGATATCTAAACCATCATGCAAAAGCATATTTGATCTATACAAAGGGGAAAATGGAAGCACAGAAATGCTTTAGGGTTTAAATTAATTTCTTCTGCATGTGTATTTTCTTTCCTTGTGCCTGCGTATTCTCCTTCCTCGTGCCTGTGTATTCTCCTTCCTCCCTTCCAGCAGGAGACTTGCACTCCAGTATCACATCACCCTGAAAAGTTTCACTTGATGAACAACCCCACAGTCACATCTTCTCCCCTAATTTAACTATAGTCCCCTGAGTTCACTATATCTTCTTCCACAGAAAATCACGAATTTCAGCCTGCTCCTAAAGTAAACCCGCCTTGAGCTCCATACATATTGGCCAGATGTGAACACAGATACTTTCTTTGTACTGTATGTTTCCAATCACTTTCTTAAATAAGAAGCATCTGGCTTAAATAGCACGAAGCACTGGTGCCAGCATTGCTAGGAGGGGTTTGGCAGGGACTGTGGTCTCTGTTCTTGGAGATGCCACAGGCTGCAGACAAAGATTTGTGTTGTCATGTAAGGAGCTCTGGCCTTGCGTAGTGTGTTCATTCAATTCTCCATTACATACCTTTATTTATGCAGAAATTTTTTTCCCTGGGGTGAAGAACTGAGCAAAAAATGAGGCAGACTTCAGCTCAGTGTCTCCAGTGTGTGTGCATGTGTGCATACATGAGAGGTGATACCTTAATCTACACAGCTGTGTGTCCTCAGAGGTACCATGACCCGTGAGGATCCCCTCACGAAATGAGTAGGGGCTTCTTGGGAGAAAAAGCTGGTAAAGGGACCAGTGCTGAAGGTAGACCTCAGTCGCCGCTAACAGAGTTGAAGCACTCTCACAGGCAGTGAAGATGATTTGATTTTGTCTTCACCACCTCTTATGGAATAATTTAAAAATCCATTTAGTTTGACTTAATACATTTTTATGTGTATCTGATTTTCACCTTTAAGTGAAAATAATGTTCAGAAGTCTTTCTCATTAAAACTATGTACATATCTCTAGAACATAAAATACATGCTTTTTTCAGTCACCTGGAAGGGAATCTGAAGGTAGCTTTGTTAGACTAATTGTCCTGCTGCAGCTATTTCTAATTGGGGCATCAGACTTAGGTTTCCAGATTGTCCACGCATTATTCTACTGTACCATACAGGGGTAGCAGGCAGGGTGAAAGCACATAGAATTATTTATCAGAATGAATATAATTAAATCTTGAAGTGAAATGCACAAGAAAGGGGAAAAAAAATCCAGTAGAGCAATATGGACTAGGATTGTTATTTACTGAAAAGATATAAGAAAATACAAAGGGAAAAGCATGAAAGACAAAAATTACCACCTTCTCCGAGTGCAAGTAATAGTTTTAGCAGATCTGCTGTCAGAAAACGTTTCCCAAACTAGTTTTATTTAAAGAGCGTCTGAAAGGGCAAATTGTCTAGTAATCAAGTCATTTCATGACTTAATTTACCTTGATTAGCATGGTACTTTTTGAAAAATGCTAATCAATTTTAGCTTCTAGTAAACTGGAAACACCACATAAATTGCTGTCACAGTCTTAAACTGCTAATCAATTTTGAAAATCTAAATCAATGTGCATTTTTATACTATTATTTTCCAGTCATTGGCTGAAATGCCTTTCTTCACCTTGCAAAATAATTAGAGAAAAAGATGCCATGCTTTGCCATTGCAGTTTTTACTTAAAATACCGAATATTTAAGAACTAGAAGAGTAAAAATGTTTTTAGCAAGCAAGGTCATCATAAGGTCATTTCATTTGTTTTTTCATCTGAAGAAGAGCATTCTTATATGTTAGGACCTCACATTCTTTAAGCATACGCTGCATATTTACACTGCATAATGCAAACTGCTGGGCATGTTATAGTAACAGCTTTTCTGAAAAGCTGCAGCCAAAAAAATACTTCTGTTGTATGATCCTTGTGTTTTGCAAGCATAAACATATCTCAAAGAATGCCATGAAATAATTGATAGCACAGGCACACAAGAGTTTTCTATATTGTTATGCATCTCTTTCATTTTCCATGTTGCCACAAATAAACCTATCACAAGTCTTTAGGCAGTGTAACTGTGCCTGGAAATTGTGAATTTTCAGATGTTAAAGGCTTAGACATTTTTTAGCAACCAAATCTAATCAGCAGCCATCTGGAGCTTCTTACACTTAAATGTATATTGGAAGAATAGAGAGACCTGCTCTCTTCTGTAAAGAAGAAAAACCCCAATCTTAATTTCATTGATACCATTTTTATTTTTTTTCTCTGTGTGTTTCTGAAAGAGACCCATAATTCTTGCCAGCAAAAGGCAGGCCACAACAGACATCCACCTAACAAAAAAACCTCAAGCTGGATGTGGACATAATTGTTTAAACAGGAAGGAAAATAACACAAGATGGGCCAAATGCTAGGAAAAAAATGGCAAACCACCCAGTGAAATGTGGAACAGTAGCAGAGCAGTGCTGGCTTTCCCCAGAAGATAACAGTGTGGCTACAGACAACATCTTCTGGCTTATGGAAGAGCACATAAAGTAGGGCAGACAGAGGCCAGACAGTTGTGCCCCTATGCTCCTAATAAGCAACAGGGTATGTTAAAACTACTTGTAGTTATATAGATGTCTATGTTTGGAAGTAAGTTTCCCTGTCCTTCCAAAACAGCCAATGTAAAAGTTCAGAGTATCCTTTTTAGGCTGTATTGCCTTTTACAGGAGAAATCTCCATTTCACTGCATGTAGAGCCTGGGAATTCACCTCAGGTAGGAGCTTGCAGTTATGTGATGTACAGACTTCTCCCCTGAGAGGTCCAGTGATGTTTGAGCACCATTTGGATCCTTGCAGATATCTGCCTTGACTTGTGTTCCTGTGTGTCAGTGTTGCACATTTGAGGTCTGTGTACTGGAGATCATTCCCAACGTGTTCCCATTGCTCGCAGCTGAGGTCTACCAGTAGACTCTTTTCAATTCCATCTCCTCAGATATGTTGCCCTTGGTGAGGTCTACCTTGATTGATTTGTGCATAACCTACCTGACATGTATTACTCCACGGCCTATGACCTGCCCTCCTCTTGGTTCTGCAGATTCTATATGCATGGGCTGATTTTCTCAATACCCTCACTCTGTAAACCAGTTCCCAATAATTTCTGGTTTTATATAGTGTATCACTCCCGGCTGACCAGAGTGAGCCCAAGCTGTTTGCCACTCTACTGCCCCAATTTATTTGAGACATCTAGCACATAAAAAATGTAAAACAAAAAGCTTTCTTCTGGTGTTATTTTTGTGCTGTTTTCCCTCCACAATCTGGACCCTCAAGTCCAGCTGCATTGTAGCTTGGGCAGCAGAAGGCATAAGACCTTGTGGATCCTTCATATACATCAACATGCTAGAGAAATTAGGTGTCCTTCATTTAATTAAAGCAATGTAATTTCCAACTTCCCAAGCTCTGACAATGGCTGAGAAAACACAGTTTAGAACACAAAGAGTTTTTGTCCCAGAATAATTATCATTAGGAGGAGTCAGTTGTTTGTCAGTAACCAGTATAGAAAACATGTAAAGAAATGTTGTTAATATGAAATGCTGGGGTGCTGGTCATAAATATTTGGTGTTCATAAAGTGAAACTAAACATACTATTAAGTTTTAAGTAAAGGACGACCCACCCCCATGGTGTCACACAAGTGTCAGGGCTTGCTCATCTATGCTTCAGGAACAGAAAGATAATACTGAAGAGGACTACACATTCTCAGATGTGACCCTGATGGCTCAAAATGCTAGTCAAAATCCTGTGTGGTGGTCCATTTGTGGAGAAAAATTAGGTGGAATGAGGCTGTTCTTTGATGTGAGCCCATGTATTTAGGACACAAAGCCCTGTTTCCTTCAGAAAAGCAGATGCAGAACAACAGAGAAATTTGATCAAATTTCTAAGTCTTTCTCATCTACCATTCAGCCCAAAGTACTTCCCCATCATGCCTGTCCCTCAGACCATGCTGTCTGCCCAGGCTGTTTCTTGTGCATCTTTCCAACTTTTCACTGCCTTGTACCATTGACATGCAAAACCATAACTGGCAAAATTCAACTCATCCACCATGTGTGGACCTTGCACATCCCTTCATTTTGGATAGTAGTTGAATGCTTACTTATGGAGTAAAGGTCATCTTTCTTCATAAAGGAGAGTACTTGGGTTTTGTACCTACCTTAAGCAAAGGGCATCAGCTTCCTTGTCCCCCTCTGTTTCAGTGGGTGGGATTCTTCTTGCTTGTATTTCAGCTCAGAATAACACATCTAGGATGCAAATCATCTGACTGTTCACATGTCTACCTTGGAATGAGATGACTTGTATGTTTAAAATTTTTACAGCAGGAACCTTGGGTGACCTGCTTAAACATAAACAGCCATGCTCTAGGTCTCTGAGTTTGGTCAGACGATTAGCTCATTCAGTGGCAGTCTGAAGAGATATACTGAAGAACCACTAAAACACAGACATAACTCAGGGTGTAGGTATGCCATCAGCACTAAGTAAATATTGAACTTTGAAGGTATACCAACACTGTTATGCCAGGCAATTGGAGGCTTGAAGAGCCACTTGTGCTCTGAAAGCTGATAGGCATGTCAGAAAGTGGATGTGTGGAGAAATACATGCCTGGACAAGCACTGACTCCTGAAGTGCTCTGATCTGTTCATCGACAGAGACTATGAGTCTAAGTGCATTCACTTCTCTAAAGTAATATGACAATGGCTATGAAAATTATATCCCAAGATACTGTTGGAGCCGAATTTATCATCATTAGACTATTGGTCATAGCAGCAAAAATGTAAGTAACTTGTCTATGTAAAAGGTGAGGCAGAAGAAGAAAAAATGAAAGTAAGAAATTAAGCTGGACTGAGTTGAGAGAGGTTGAAAAAGGATAGAAATTAGAGAAGAATAGATGAGAGCAGAGGAGACAGGAATTCAAGGGAATGGGCAATAGAAAAGCAAGAGGGCACACACCAATGTAAGGATTGTCATACTAGATCTGAGCCACTGCCCGTGATGCCCAGCACCTTGTTTCTGCTAGAAGGTGGGATTAGATGATTTAGAGGATGGTGCAAAAAAACCACCTATTGAAAACCTGTGATATAAATAGCCTACCAAGGAGGTTTCCTCCCAACTCCTGTCAAATAAAGATTACTTGAAGTTCTGAAGCATGAAGGAGGGATGAAAACTGAGGTAAAAAATTAAAAACATAAAGTGGAAAGACTGCAAGGAGTGAAGAAAAGAACAAACTGGGATATAAAATGAGCCCGGAAGATCAGGATTTATTTTCCTCCAGTGCTATGCTGAATAGAGGATCCAACTCAAAGTCTTCATGTTGACCTTCTATGTAACATACAGGAGAGCACATTGTCTTTGATGGGCATGTTTTCTGTAGTTTTCTGTGATACGTGCCAAAGTTGCGGGATTTCTAAGTTACACAGTTTTCTCCTCCAATTAATTCTTTTTTTTTTTTTTTTTTTTTTTTAAGGGGCTGCACTTGTTCACTCCTTAATCCTCACAAAAAAAATTAAAAAAAATAGTTCCTGTCCTTTTCTTATATCTTCTTGTATCAAAAGTAATCTGATAGATTACTTTTGAAAGTAATCTATCATGAGAAATAGAATCATAGAATCATATGGGGTTGGAAGGGACCTCTGGAGATCATCTAGTCCAACCCCAATACGTTGATTTGGCTATATGAGCTGCCCAGGTTTGGATATTCAAGCTGCTCATTGTCCTTTAAAGCTCTCATTTCATATCTATATACTTGTACAATTAATATGAAATACGTACTCTGGTGTGTGCTGTCAGGGCAGGAAGATTTCTTAATTGATATGGACTAGGTATAGAGAATTACCAAGGAATTCCACTGTGAGTGCTCAGCAGCAAAGGTGCAGGAGAGTGGCAATTGCTCCGGGGCAGCTCCAGGAGGAGTCTTATCTCAGGCAACCCCAGCTTTCACTCATGCTGTGGGGAGGGAGCCAGCTCAGTGCTACACCTCTCCAGAGAGAAAAGCAGATGCTGCACTTCGCGCTTACTTACCCAGCGCTGCTCGTGGTACCTAACATAAGGTAAACGGAGCTCAGAGAAACCACAAGAACAGCGTTATCCTAGTATTTTTAACTTAGAATTAAAGGCAATGCAAGACCCAGAAATCCCTTTTAGTAGCCCGTGTTGCTCTTCCAGATGAGTTCCTCTCATGATGGCCCTAGCACCAAGATGTTAAGTAGAAGTGACAACCAGAGCAGGCCTTGTGCACTTCTGCATGTCAGATACTTCTCGAGGAGGAGGGGGACTGGGGAAGAGAAACTGCTGCCCAACAGCATTCACCCAGCACGGAGAGAAGGGAACATATTTGAATGTTTTAGTACAAATACATCAGCACCGTGCAGGATATTGAAACTGATCGGCAGACCCTGTGATCAGCGTATTAGAGCTGACTGATGTGTCAGTCTGTTGTCAGAGATAAGTTTTTATTGTTTATGGTTTTCACTTGAGCTGGAGATTAAATATGAGACCTATTAAATTTGCAGGATTGCTATCTTACTGTGGACATAAGCTTTTGAATGTGCTTTGGACAAAAATGTTATTACATAGGACAAAATGGTTCCTGGGCACCTGCTATATGGCCCAGATTGCTTCTGCTTCTACACTTTTATTTGCTCACCCTGAATTAAAAACTTCACTTTCAGGAGAGTAACTGAAAGACCACCTTATCAGGGAATCCTATTCAAGAAAGCATGCAATTTCCTCATCTTCAGAGAAATAAAACCCTTTAAAGACATGACAAGGTAAAAAAGAGAGTAGCTGGCAAAAAAATTCCATGCTCCCACAACAGACCAACCCTTTACAATGCTGATTTAAATGGCATGCCTCTTTTCATGATGCATTAGTGTTTCAATTTCTGCCTCTCCCTGAGTTTAGCTTCTGGGATTTTGCAATTTATAGTCCAGTGTTTTGCTTCTCTGTTTCTAGTCTTGTGTTGCTTACTTTGCCCAAGCCTGTAAAACTGGATGGCCATTTTGCTCTGACAAGTTTGCTCAGGGTCAGCAGGGTAAAAAGTCTGGCAGAGGAACTATAAAGGAAAAAAAAATGCACAAAGACGTGGACAGAGTTTCTCCTCAAGAACAGCTAAGACAGCTCTAGTCTCAGTCTTTGTTTACGGTATAGCTCCCACTGTTTGTGCTTTGGGGAGGGAAGAGAACTAGTACTGGAGGAATTTGAATATGCTGCATAGAGAACACACTTGTTTGCCGTGGCACCTGATAGACCCCCTCATCACACAAAAGTCTGAGTGTAACAGATTGCGTTTTCTCTGAGATTCAGATTGGTAATGCTTGTCAGACAAAATAAAAGAATGAATGTTTTCTAAAAATAGTCGATCTGTTTCTTCTCTGACAAACAAAGATTTATGTGGACCCAAATTAATAACAGTATTTTTCACATTTCCTGGTCTGACTGCTATGTGTGTCTCGGAAATTGAGAACTTTATGCACAGGATGCAAAAAATAAAAGTGCAAGAGTAGCACTTTTTTGGAGGATGAAAGAAAGAGGGCTGATATTTCTAGAAAATAAGGTTGTGCTTTGTACAAGGAAATGGGAAAGCTGGGGGACAGGAAGAGAGATGCTGTGTCCCAACTGTCTTCCCCCCAAGTGTGGTATGTACATTAAATACCTGGTTAAGGCAAGGGCTGGTGACATATTAGCCTCTCATGAACTGGAGAAGAAAAGTAGTTCTGTGGATTAGGTGGTAAACCAGGACTCAAAAAGCCCCTCATGCTGAATCCTTGACAGGTTTCCTGTCTGATGCTGAGCGTGTCACTTCGGGAAAGACTCATCTCAGCTGCCTTCAGTCATGTAAAAGTTAGACTTCTCCTCTGGCGACTTAAAAGGGAGAGATACTTAGAGAGATACGGGCATTTCCAACAAGCAATTAATTCCACTGATCTCAGACATCTCCTAGAGGGGGGATGATCTGCCCAGCAGACGATCTGGCAGCTGCAGGCTAGCGTCCGTCTCACCCCCACCAGGGTCTGGCCAGCTCTCCATCCTCCCTGGGACAGGGCTGTCTGCTCAGGCTGGCAGCTCCTCGGGACAGACTCTGTCTCTCGCAGCATGCTCGTATAGTGCTGTGCATAACCAAGCCCTGGCCCTCCTGTGAGACTGCTGAGCAATTCTGCAGTAATAAGTGAATAATAGCAGCAAAGAGTTGCTTTGGGGTTGGTAGACTTCAAGTTTTATGGCAGGAGGCGTCTCAATTCAGAGAACTACGGAGTTCGAATGGCCATCCTAACAGCGCATCCTCTGTTGTTTTGTGTCTCAACTTCTGTAATCTGGAAATCCAGTGACAATAAAACCAGGAAAACTGGCCCCACTGAGTGAAATATGCATTGCCCCCTCTCTCTTTTTTTTTACTTTTCATGGCTGGAAGCCTAGTGTGACGTATCTGACAAGGTAAAGTTTTTCAGACTTTCGTTATGTTGGTTTCTCCATTGATCCTGGTGACATTCACAAAAGCAGAGGGGCAGTGCAATGTGCCTGAGCACGTCCAGAGGGCTTTCATCGCCTGCTCAATCACCCTGAGAAGTCCCACAGAAGAAGTTTAGTTAAACAGAAATTTATCTTTGGATTTAACTGCTTCTCATTTAACTGCTGCTCTACTCCCCCTATTCCACAACACTGTGCTGCTGAGCCCCGAGGGTGTTTAAGTGAGGAAAAGGCTGGTCTGAGACAAGAAAGCATGGCTGACCCACAGCACCCTGTGTGAGGGAAGGTGGCCAGCGGAGGCTGCCACAGAGCAGCTGTGCTGTAGTGCCTATAGCCATGTGCACGTTCCCAGCCTGTTGCAAAAGTCCAGGAAAATCTCTTCATGGTGAACTACGGGATGGTGGCTTCAGCAGAGACATGCTACGCCACAGCTGAGGTGGGAGAGGAGCACTGGCACAGCATCGAGTGGATGGCACTCAGCTGGAAAGTGGAGTGGACGAGACCTCTTCTGCTCATGAGAACAGCCCCATGGACATCGGGGTGACATTCAGAGCACAGTCCCAGGCTCTGCCCAGTCTTCCTGCCTGTCCTTGGCTAATGCTCACCTGCCCCATCTCCCCTTCTGCAAAGGAGGAGCATGACATCCTTTTCTTTCTTCCTTCCCTGCCTGTTTTCTCTCTCTTCCTCGGGGCAGACACAGCACCAGGTGCAGCATGACACTGATGGGACCACTGCTGAAATGGAAAGAGTGATGGTTTGTTACAGCCCCAGTGCTTTAACCTGACTGGTCCCCACTTCGCAGGGTCAGGCTCAGCAAAATCCTGTATTTTACAGTTGCTCTCTCCGGTATGGATCAATGTGGAGCGAGTGTAGTTCTCTTTCAGATTCGACACAGGTCACAAGCAAAGTGACTTTGGCAGGCAGAGCCGAATCCCTCACGGGGTCTCCTCTTGGGAAGGCTGTGACAGCGTACAGTTTGGCTCTACGTGTATTAATGGCACTTGATGCTTAGCAAATTCATGGCAGAGGAGCAGTGGTAGGTTTTTAGATCAGGCTACCCCAGCAGCATACTGAGAAGAAATTATCTCTGCTTG